TGAATGGCATTGTAGTTCTAGGTTATACACCTGTCATTATAGTGCCCTTACCTTTTTGTGCACATACTGTATATACTGTATATATTGTGATGAAACATGGCGTTTAAGTGGGTTCTTAGTATGATTTTAGGCAACTCCTTGAAAGTTTGTTACTTCTTTTTTATGTCACTAACAGAACATTTATTTTTTATATTTTTAATAGCTACAGTACTTAATTAAAACACTAAAGATACCATAAATTATTGTCTGTGTTCTAATACATACACAGATTTAAAAATAAAATCTATACACCAGTGTAGCATATAGAATAGTTTTTATGATGGTAATAACTTTCACTAGTGTGGCTAGGGCTGTGTTTACCATTAGCTTTTTATCTTTAAAATATTTTGCTTTTTAAAAACTTTCTTTCACACTCACTCTGTGACAATATCCACTGGAGACCACATTGTTACTAGAATATGGAAAGTCATGGCTTTGTTTATATCAATATAAGTTTCTACTATATTTATATATAGTTGAGTGATGATACCTGACAGGCTTTGCCAATCTCCATTACACTGGCTCTTTTTTCGGGGTCTGTGATAAGGTTAAACTTGTTTTGGCATCATCTTCCCTCTGAATTAATGCGAGACATTATTCATTTTCATTATTACTATATTTAGAAGTCTTGGATTGTTCAAGAAAAGATTAATAGTATTTTTATTTTCATTGTCTGGTGGTACAACTTTTGGATCATTCAAAAATAAATCAAACTACAACCGTGAATGCAGTTTATTATGAAATCTTAGAAGTTGAGATATAAACAGAAAAATGTGCTTCCTTTTAGAGCAAAGAAACTAAATATAATTAATCAGTGAAGTCATTGTTCTCCATTTTTAATGCTGTCCTTGCATATACTGTGTTAAGACAAAGGCCATACTTACGCTTTTGAGTTGTTAATAACACCCTTTGAGTTTACTTGTTGTAAGATGTAAGAAATGAAAGGTTCTTTGCAAATTTCTCCTGCGTGTTGTCGGAGATGAGGAGATGTTTGCTTCTGTGCTGACTTCAGGAATGTCTGCCCAGGACAGAGACAGGCTGACCCTGCAGTTTTCATCTCATTAAGCAAATGAAGGCTGTCTTTCTTCTTGTTTGCATTTTATCAACGATTCATCTTTAGAAGGATTTACAATGCTTATCTTCCCATTGCAAATGCAGTGCTACATTTCATGACTCCAATCTCGTTTATTTTTGCTTGCATTCATGTTTTTAGGGGATATCTTCTGAGTTACACTCATCCAGCTTACAAATATCCAGAATTACAAAACACAGTAGCTGACATACAGTAGGAGAAGCAGAAATTTACAATACAACTTCAAAGAGTGAGAAGACTGGTGTAAACTATGAGCATTAAAACAGATTTATTTAGAATATCATGTTTTGGACAGAAAAAAAGATTGACAAATTCTAAAAACATATAAATCATACATTTGTGTTAGAGTTTAAAAAACACAAAAGAACAATACTGTGTATTTTATTGTTTTAACATTGGTCCTGCCTTGCATCCTGTGTCTTCTGTGTTGGGCTGTGACTCATGATTATAAGGGGTTGACAGTCCTGGTTTTAAGTCATGACTTAGTGTTAAGTAGTAACTGATGCCTTTAACTCACCCGCTTTCTGATTTAGACTTCAGAAAAGGTTTACCAATCATGATCCTGGATAACCTACATATATTGATTTTTAGGCCTTTTTAAAAATTGGGTTTCAGCTTTTAAGATGATGAATAGAAATAGTAATTGATATGAACCACTCTCATGAGGCGTACTGCCCTCGTTCTGTGTTCTGGTGTGCTAACTGAGATCTAACTAATTGGGCTTAAGGAAAAACTATGACTCACAGTTCATGTCAGTTCATGTCATGCCCACCTGTTCATCAGCATTTGATCACCTATTAAGAACTGATTAGTCAGAAGTAAAGTAGAAAAATCTTAATTAGCAAGTTCAGGGGAGACTGCTTTAAGTTCTCTTTGCTAGTTGTTGGAAATATTGCACTTTAACTAGGATATTTTTTAAATCTCTGCCTGACAGTTATAGTCACCAATTTGCACTAGTAATTGAGGGCCCAGTAGAAACAAACCCAACAGTCACAGGGACAATTCAGGACCTGAACTGACAGCTACTGCTCCAAGATGTAGCTTAATTATATATTTTTCCTCATGCATATATCTATCTCAAACTCTAATGACTCAATTCATTTTTTTTCTAAATTGTGAAAATTACTTAAGATGGTAACTTGTTTTTCTCATGTTCTGCACATATGTTTCTTATTTGTTAAAGGGTTCACGTGTTGTGTGTTGTGTTGTGTTTCACCTGCTTGCAAAGCACACATTCCATCTGGTACAATAAAGGAAATAAGTAAGAAATCTATTTTCATTCAACCTCTTATCTTAATTACATAACTGAACTAATTAATTGACGAGGGAGCCGTGTCACCTGTTGTCTTAGGTCTTCATCACACTATAAAGCAGCATGTCCCACTCCTGGTTTTCATTCCAGCTGAGCTTGGTTATATAATTGAAGCCCTTCCTGAACTCACAAGCTGCTTGAAGGAAATATTTGCAAGTTTCTACTCAAAAGTTTTAGATTTCATTTATAAAAAGCAACAGTTGAAAAGCCGCCTCCAACATCATTAAGATCTGAAATTAATTATATTTCAAAGTCTGATTGTGTAACTGAATACTAGGCTGGAACAAAAACCAGCAGTGTGGCTCTCCAGCATGACTGGGAACCCCTGCTCTTAAAGTAAAAGCTAGTTTTTGAACATGAGTGGATCATTATCATTATTATCAATTGAAAATAATATGAAATCAAATGACCAATTCTGTTTGAGTCAGAATTCACAAAAAATCAAATTACATTAGGGAATGCTAATCAATGCTCAGCATATCTTTGCTCACATGTTTTGCAGTAATAAATAACACAAACACCTTTAGAAAAAGCTTTAAAGCAATAAAAGTGAGCTGTTACCTCTGGGGGAAACAAACTAGTTCTATTTTAAAAGAATAAAACAAAATACAGACTTTAAGTGAATGAAAAAATAATGAAGAATCTGTAGTGCATGATGCCGAACAAAAAGCTTAAGACAAGTCAATTGTCAACTCAGCGTTTGTGATTGCTGGAAAAGTCTCCTCCTCTATCACAATTGCCTACAAATGTAAACAGTTGCTTTAAGTGAGTGTTTGTGAATATAGACATCACTGTGACTACTAATTTCACAACACCATGTTGGCAAAAATGGGGATGTCCACAGGATCCTTTTTGTTTTGAAGAAATTAATCCTTATTTCTCATGCTCCAGGCCCACTGATTATACGTGGTGCAAAGCAAGCAGGGAATATCTAATTTATGCAAAAGTGAGGAGTTGAACTCTCAACCCTGATGGAAATCTTTTTAAAATTATTTTTATTTAAATAACAAGGAAAATAACAAGGTAGCAACAAGTGAATGAAACGGGGGAAAAAATACAATAAAACAACCCCCCCCCCAAAAAAACACTTTGTCTATAGTACAGAGGTTATGTGATATTAGGGGTTGCATTAAATATGTTTATATGCTAAAAGACTTTTGTAGAAAATAAAATTTTGCAAACAAGAGAATTACATTTACCATTATACAGACTTCGTTGTTTGGATTCGAGACACCGAGAACAATTTCTTTAAAAGTTAGATTTACACAAATATTACTATTGTATAGCCTAGAACAAACAGAGTGCCAGAAAGTTATTGAATGGTGACATTTGAAAAAAATGTGTTCAGTTGTTTCAGTATCTGTTTCGCAGAAGGTGCATGTGTTACAGTCAAAGTTGAACCGTTTTCTCGGAAATTCCCTAGAGGGATATATGTTATTCAGTATTTTAAAATGAATATCCTTGGTTTTTGGTTGCATGGGGAAAGTGATGTATTCGGTTCTAGCGGAGAGTAGAGAATCCTCATCTACAATATAGAATTAAAAATTACTTTATCCTTGATGGCTGGGAAGAATCTCTCAGCCATAATAGTATGGATGTATTTATTATTGCACTTTATTCCAAGATATTATAAGTTCCAATTTTGATCTTTGGTATAAGGAGAATTATATTACTATGAATAGAGAAGTTTTTTACCAAAGCTAGGAGAACAAGTGGAATTGCCTCAATAATTTCTTCGAATTGCTTTGGGGTTTTTTTGGGTTGAATTGTTTGGGCTTTTCTGTTTGAGTCTCACTTATTACTTGTGATAATCCATTTCTTAATATGTTAGCATAGACATGTCATACAATCTTGTAATCTATATTTAATAATGAAATTGGCCTCCAGTTATCAATATATTTTACATTTTTACCTGTTTTAGGGATTAATGTAATGACACCTTGTCTCATAGTAGTAGACAAAGTATTATTGGATATGCACTCCAAAAAGGTCTGGTATAGAGAGTTTCTTAAGTCTTTCCAAAATAATTAATAAAATTCAACAGTTAATCCGTACGTGGCTGGAGCCTTGCCGTTAGCTAGCCTCTTAAATGCCAGATTATCTTCTTCAATTGTTAAATCTGAATCACACCTACCCTGTAGGACTGGAACAGTAATGGAGAACATTTCAAACACCAATTAATGATGAAATTCCTTACGTATGTACTTCAATTCCATTTCTCCTAATTATATGTTTTTTTATTTTGATTATATAAACAGATAATCTCTGAGGGTCTACTTATGTGCTTTTATTCATGCTATAGGTTTATTTTAATTGAACGTTTATTTTATAGTATCTCTGACTAAATCCAATAACCCATATCTCATATCTTCATGTACTCTGGAAATCTTGAAAAGAACCTTCAACTTCAAAATACCAGTTTGGAACGCTACCTAGAGTACAACTTGCATACCATTTGCAAACCATTTAAACCTTTTCCCCATGATGATCACCTCAGGCTTATGAAGTCAGAGAGCCTTGATTACCGGTTTTGCATTTGGAAAACTTTATTTAAATATCTTTAAATAATGTGTTACATGCATAAAAAAGTACAGTAACATACTGTAGGTTAACATAAACATTAAAACAATTTTAATTTGTACATAACATAAAAGGAAACAAGATGGAGTTACCGGTTTAAGTTGCACATAGTAATACTATTTCTTTCGAATATTAAACATAAAGGCTTTGATGGCTGATAGGTCAGTCATCTCTGTTCACTGGAAGTGTGAAACGTCACGGGTGCCGGTCGGCATGTTGGCAAGAATGAATTAACATTCTCAGGGGTAGATGAAAGGAGCCCTATAGTCATCAGCTTCGGGCATTTCGTCATCGGCGGGAATGTTGCGCTCTGCATGGTTGACATGCACCCTCTCGGCGGCAGCTGTGGCCGCGGCGGCGGCTGCGTTGGGCTGTGCTGTGCCTGCGGCGGCTGCGGGCGGATTCCCGACTGTCGCGGCCCTGACGCCGGCCGGTGTGGTCATGCTGAAGGCGGGGTCTCTGGACTGTGGAGCGGGCTGGTTGTTGCTTCCCTGAACTGGCACGGTGCTGCCTGGTGTGGGCGGCAGGTTGCCGTGCCCTGCTGGGAAGACGGCAGGAGCAGTGGGGCTGCCGCCTTGGCCGACTGGGAACAGCCCGGCGTCGGGGGCTACCGGGAGGATCCCCTGTCCCGTGGGGAAAACTCCCTCTGTCCCGGGCACCGTGCCACCAAATCCGCCATAGCCCGATCCGGCAAAGCCAGGAACAAACCCTCCAAAGCCAGCCACCCCTCCTGCTGCCTGTGACGAACACACACGTAATGTAAAAACGTCTGCACCTGAGGACGTGAACTCGGGGGTGCGAGCGTTGTGTCAGACTGGGCAGCGCAAATGGCTGTCAGACTTGCTACAGTAGGTCTGTAAATTTTGAAATTTCGAATGGAAATTCAAATCTAGACATTTGAATGCCTATAAGCTGCTGCCCTAATGAGGTCAGTATAGCCTCTGGGCTTGTCCGGTGCATTTTAAATAAGACATCAACATGGGAGAGAATCATACGTAAAGTATTTGTGGTGAAATTTAACTAATCTAATTATTAAAACACCTCAATAATTTATAATTGGTAACTACTACTGTACGTTCCCTGTGTGTACAATGGTGGATACGGTTTTACATTTACCTGCATTTCTTCAGAACTAGCACTTCCGAAGCCACCACCCTAGAAGGCAAGAAAATGTCATGGATGATGATCCGCATTAAAGATGTGCTCAAAAAAGTTTGTTTATATGTTCAATACAAGTGTAAAAAAATTCCATGCTTTTAAATATAGCGCTTTGCATCCGTAAACATGTCAGAAAACTTCACATAAAGGAGAGGACCTGGCAGTTCAGCCTGAGAATTGAGAAGGTTTTTTGTCACCAATTGAATTTAGATTAAACATACTGTACAGTAAAGTAGAACTTCTGAGCAAACCCAGCATGGAATTTAGTTATTACACTGGGTACAGTTAGATCTCAATTTAATATGTCATATTAATTGCTGAGATAAAAATGAATATCTCACAGAGCAGCACCAAATTTTGATCAGAGATAAAGAGTGCCACCAGCACCAATAACAGCAGCAATGTGGCTTTTCTCAGAGGTCTCCCATCCCAACACTCACTAGGCCCTGCTTGGAATAACTTCAGAAACCTGACAAAATCAGGCTACAAGGTGACAAAACTGCTGGTGCTATGGTTTGGATATTATGCAAGATTGACTTATATTAAATTATACTTTCACTTCATAATCAATTATTAAATTTAAATATGTAATACAGAAAGTTACAATCTATTAAAATATCCAGCCATTACTGATTTTGATTTAATCACAGGATTCACAGGCTGGGAAGTTATCAGCTGAATTAGATATCCTGATTGACTCCAGCTCTTTGTAAGTAAATGACAGATTACAATCAAGCACCAACGGCCTTTCTGATTTGCGTTTCACAGAAATGTTCCTGACTAAATTATGTAAATTAAGAAAAATTGTTCCTGGTTTAAATGATGAAAATAAAGAATGTTGACGGTGCAAATAATAACATTGAAGTGCTGGTGTTTACCCCCATGGCAGACTGCATTGGCTGGATTTGGAGATAAAGGATTTGTGGAATCATCTGTGGGAATGAAAACAAAAAAGGATTCTGGTGAAATACAATACAATACAATCGTAATATAATACAATTATAAAAATAGTAGTGAAGGACATGGTAAGACCCAATGCTTGTCAAATGCTTTTTGAAACTACTTCCTTAAATGTATCTCCTTTAGGAGAACACGCCATTGAACAAACCACACAGTGATTAGGGACTGTATAATCCTCAGGTCTTTCTGCAGTTGGCTAAACAAGGCCTCTGTAAAGCTGCCATCACACACAAACACGGTGGACCCGGCCACTTCTGCCACAGTGCTGTGGTGTAAATAGAAGGTTTTGGCATGAGTCTCTGCGAGGCGCTAAACTGAGTCACGTTATCAGCCCTCTGCATGATTTCCTGAGTCTGCTCCATATTGTGTTACTTGTATGTTACCTCTGTCAATACTGCTCAGTTCGAGATGACAGGGCTCTGTCGGCCTAGAACAAGTCTGATGGTTCGCAGTGAACAGCCTGTTTAATTATTCAGGGCTCGTATCGACTGTTTGAACAGTGCTTCGCCTGCATCACTGCAGCTGCAGGGTGCTGTTATCGAGAAGGAGGCTCGGCTCTCTGCTCCCTGGCAGCGTACGGCCCGTACCTGCTGCTGTGGTGGGGCACCGGGCTGTGCAGCCTGAGGAGGCTGTACTGGCTGCTGGGGGAAAGCAGTATTGAAAAAGACGCCATAACCAGGAAACTGAAACAACAAGATTAAAGAACAGCGTTAGTTTGCCCTCAATGGGTTTCGTACTGTAATATGACTAAACTGGGATTGCAAAATATCTGTTGATATCAATCATTACACACAAGTAAACGTGTAACTGCTGTTATTTATAATAATTTACTTGTGGATCTCAAATCATGTCAAATTATTATTATTATTATTATTATTATTGGTCTATAAAATGTCATTCATATTTGATTAAATGTCATTGTTCATATCAATAGAGTTTTACTAATATATAATATTTACAATACTGTTTTACTGCCATCTACTGGCATGAAAAACGTACATATAACCTTTACAACGTATGTTTAAATATTCAAAGTAGGTGCTTGGGGACCTTTTGTAACAGAGGCAATTATTCAAAAAGCACTATAGAACAGATTCCAACCTGCTGTTCATCTTGGGCCTGTGGTGGCATGATGGGTAAAATTCCAAAAGTATTGAACACCTGAATGGATCAACAGCATTGGGAGATGTGTTAAAATAAAACATGGATCAAGACCTGGCCTCTGTATGGCTGTGGTAGAATTATAAGTTGTACATGGTGAAATCAAATGTTTGAAAGACAAAATGCTGCCATACCAAGATAGCTCCTTTTTTCATAACCTTAAGTGGAGATGGTGCTGAATGCTGGTCAGCTCGATTTTGCTTCTGTAACACCCATGGTGTCCCCCCACCCCCCGCAGAGTTAGTGATATTAGCGAGCGCTCGTTAGGCCTCACTGACGACACAGCAAGCTCACAGGAGCCAGGCGGGTTACAAGGGTCTCAGGAGGCTGTTTCTCAGCCTGGACTGAGAAGGATCACACTCTGCAGGGTCTGTTGGTTGAACCACTAACAAAACTCATTTTCTACACAACACTAAAGTTAGCGTTTTGGTTCAATTTCTCTTAATTATGAATCTCTGCAGATATTAGATAACATCATTAGGTGCAGACACGACAAATGCAAACCTTGTCAAGGATGAAGCATTAACTTATCCAATCGAAACTCTATGCAATTGATTTCTCACTTGCTCACCAGTTATCCTTCAGTCTGCTAGGCCAAAGCCCTCGCTTAAGTTTTTAAAGAGATGCATAGTTTATGAAATGTGTTCTTGTGCATTTAATTACACAAATAAATGTTTTTCCAAAGAAAAATTAAAGAGAAAAATGGTGTGCTTTGCTTGCTTCACTTTTCCTGACTGACAGGTTACCATTTTCTAACATGGGTGCTATCCATTCGAGCTGTACAGCTTGAAACTATTCCCTTTACAATATCTCAACAGAAACCATGGAGTCAACCTCTCTTTTGCTTTGTAATGAAATGGCGCCAACATACTGGAGGGAGCTGGGCTGGAAGAGTTGGCTGGTGCCCCTGGGTCCCGGGCTGCGGTCCGTTGATGCCGGTCTGTGGAATCTGAATGTTAGGCTGCAGCACCTGGACGCCAGGCTGCGGGGCCTGCGCAGTGGGGTGCTGCTGCCCTGCCTGGTCACCCTGCTGCCTGGGCGCTGCTGGGGCTGTAGGTGTGGCTGGAGCACTTCCTGCTGTAGCACCAACCTGCTGCACAGGAAGGAGGCCGAGATCAATCCGATAATGCATTCCGTTGTCCGTGAAGATACCAAAGTTCAGCGGAATTCTGGTTTGTCTACTACTGCGGGGAGTCTGCTTACTCAACAGAGGAACAGAAACCAGAAGACAGACGTTGAAACTGCGAATGGTTGTGTGAGTGTGGAACAAGGCATCCTAGCCAGGTTGTCGGAGCCTTAACTCAAGTCTCCTCCAAGAAAGGAATGGACCCTGGCTCAATTAGCTATTAGCTACCAAACAGCTTAGATGGGCCAAATCGCTACACCTTGTTTGCAACCTTACTTTCTCTTAATGTTCTTAATGAAACTAGATCTCTTGTTCTAAGATCAGTAATAGTCAAGCGGTATATTAAGTTTACTGTTCAAATAAAGCCCAACCTTCGATCTTCCTTTGTTAGGTCATGAGATACTTACAGTAAGTATTTTAAAGTTTTAACACCACTTTTTTTATACAATTTTGAAAAATTATGCCAAAAAATTATATGCTTACTGGTGTCAGCTGTCCTGGGACCTGAGGCAACAAGAAAGGAGTTTCATACTCATACTATGAAGTAAGAAAGAACACGACAAATAAGAACAATTAAAGAAACACTATTCTGTCTTATTATTTAAGTCATATACCGCTATACAGTTCATTTTTACACTATTTGAGAAATTATTTTTGGAATCCGTGTGTGTTAGAAATGTACGAAAAAAATCCATATTTGTGTGATTATATCTGGACAATTACTTGATAAGACATATTGAAAGTCCCACAACCCATGGCAGCAAAATCAAACGAAGTATAACTCTGTTTTTTCCGTTAAGCGCTACAGAAAGCGCCGAGATTCTGAGCAAGGTCGAGGAAACGCGCAAAATGTTTCCAAAGTTACGGATCTCGACCTACCTGCTGCTCCGCGTGTACTAGCTGCATCTGCTGCAGGCCTGGCTGATACTCCACGGGCTGAAAGCTAGGAGTCATCTGATGGGGCAGCTGTGAGGGCCCCTGGGGTGGGAGCTGTGATGGGGCCTGGCTTGTTGGTGTCTGAGACGGCTGAGCCTGGATCGGGGGCTGCAGCCCCGTGTTGTGAGGCAGCTGTACCCCTGTGAACTGAGGGATCTGTGGGGGCTGCAGTCCAGTGCTGTGTGGTGGCATGTTCAGAGAGGGAAACATCTGGATTGCAACAGAGTCCACATGTTAGTCACAGCGTGGTGTCAGTGTTAAATATATATTTATAAGCTACTGTATTGGTGTTGCTTTGAAGCAGCAGTGAGTAATCACCATATTTGATCACATATTACTTTCTGGGAGAACCCAACCAAAGTTAAAGAGAGTTGTATTCTGTATGCTGAATGATCTGAAACATTCACTGTTTTAATCTGAGACCTCTTTGGGTAAGTACTGGCGTACTTCAACACATAAAATCTCGGCTATGGCCTGTGCCTTTTTCTACCAAAACTGTGAGTCGGCAAAATCAACAATTAATATTGTGTGTTTGATTGCCTAAAGAAAAAAAATCAACAGCTTACCATCGACTGCTGCTGCATGAATGCTTTGTAGCGGGCCATCTCTCGCATCGTCTTAAAAAGAAGTTTCAGAATTTGCATTATTTTTACAATCTTTCTCTTATTGTTTCAGATTAATTCAGTTTTCTAAAAAAATATTTTTTTTTCTGATCACATTTTATTTAATGTCATTAAATAAATAGCTTATAATCTTTGTGAATGTCCAGTATTGTAATAGATGATAGCTGTTTTTATCAAAGGAAATTGAAGGTACTTCAATACTCAACGTTTTAGTTAGATTGAAATCATTGACATTGTCACATGTGTAATATTCAGTCTGGGTAAGGCACAATTAAAATACAATACACTTGATGCTGACTCAGTGTGTGGTATTTGCTCAAGCTTTCTCAACAATACGGAGGTGAGCTTCTCATTACCTCTTGGCTCAGACTGAAATATCGTGGGTTCCCAGCCTGCTGCTTCTGAGGCTGCTGCTGATGGTGAATCTGCTGAAGCATCTGGCGCTGTAACTGCTGATAGACCTGAAGCTAAGAAAAGATAGCTATTTGCACACTGCTGTTTCCTTGAAAAGAAAGTGAGCTGGCTGATAAAATTTTAAGAAAATAAAAAATATGAAAAATATACTGTACTTACTGGCATACTAAGCGTTGTGCCTATGAGGCACATGAGCACAATTGCCGATCTCATTCTGGAACACTCTAAAAATAAATAAATCACGGTTTTCTAATATAATTATTTTTCTATTTTAATAAGCAAACAACAACTGCAAAATATTTTAGATGTATTCAGATATGGCTTTCTGCTATGCTGTACAATATCTGCATCATACAGATTTCATATGTTATCCTTGAACAGACTTTCTGAATGAGTTTCTGTTGTAGGACTGGTCTTTAAAAAATAATTCACTTCCATTGTAAATAATGATACTGTAAGATCTGAAAGTCACAGATTTGCTAATATTGTATCCTTATATGTATCGACAACTAAGATGTGAAATTAAATAGAGAAAGTCCCAATGGTGTTCTCCTTCTTTAATTTAACTCCATTTAATCCATGTCAAATAATAATTTTGTTTTCTTTTTTAAAGATTTGTGAAATTGGGAAGTCTAGCAATACAAACATATCTGTAATATGTACACCTCATTCTTAAGCAGCTGAATTTGGCATATTACCTCCCAAAACTACTGTGTGCATTAATGTAATCTTACAAGATATTGCTGCAAATTACACTTCATTTAATAAAATACATCTGATTTTTAATTACAGCTTGAATATCACTTCAATATGTACACTTTCTCATTTATTTGTAACTCAAAAAAGTTTTCTCTAAGATCCTATTTCACCTTTTCTTTTAGATAGAGAAGATTGTAGTTAGTAATGGACTAATATTCTAAACAAACTTCATTTGAAGAGGTAGTTTATATAAAATATAACAAAGCAATTTATCAAGAGCGAAAACAAACAAAACAACAACTATGATATAACACAATGATTTATAGCTTTTTAACTTTATGAAGCAAAAAAATATACGTTTTTACCTTGTCCTTGGAGTTATGTGCGATCTCTTCACAATAGTTGTCCGTAGAACTGAATGAGATTCACTTGAAAAAGACTTCTTTCCTTTCCGAATGCGAAATCATTGTGTCCAAGAAGAATTTAAACTCTGTTGACTGGACAACGCCAGCCAATCAGTTTAAGAGAATGCTATGATCTCAGTGGACCTACCTTCCACAACATGAAGAAAGTTGACACACAGACAACCGCAAATTATGCTTAATTACATCTTGTCTTAAGCTGCAATACAGCAGGTGTCTGAAAAAAAAATCAATGTGAAAGTGCGAACACAAAAGCACTTAAGAGATTTTTATTTATTACTATATTTACTTGCAATTACTGTAGCAATGAAACTTTAAAAGGGCGAGCTGTTTTTGCAGCTAATTAACAACCAAAATGACTTGTACTGTATGTGAAGAAATTAAATCTACTGTAAACATAGTAATATTATTGATGTGTTTTTATGCATTTATCTGTAAACAGACAGTTGCTTCCATTTCAAGATCATTATTTTCCATAGTAAGTTGATATTGATATTCCAGTAGCCTTAGTATTTTTTTCTATTTGAGGCTATTTTTATTTTCCAAGCCCCTGAAGGACTGTGATGAAACAAAAGGGGTCAACTCCTACTTATTAGTTTTTGTGCAGCTGAAAATGACCACCCAATTCAAAAGTGTGTGTTTTTTCATTTGAAAAAATACATGACACTGCAGGTGACAATTTAAGACAAAGCATATTTTATTAAATAATAGACAGTTGGAAACTCATATCCACACTCATGTTTTAGTACATACAGTATGAAACAAAAAGAACAAGATGAATACTGCACAAAGTAATGATGGTAGAGTTTTTTATGATACTGCATTCAAATTGATTGTACAATATGTCTGTACTGGGTTTTAGTCTTGCATAATGTAGTGTGCTTACTGAATGTCTCGTTGTATATGAGAAACCAGACAATATAAAGATGCATGCAGTCTGTAACACTATATACAGACAATAAACAAATAGAATTCATAAGATGATTAAGTCATTTCCTCAAAATGAAGGGATAAAAAAGCCTAACATTGTAATTACTCGTCTTACGCAGAGGGGAGGCAACCAAAACTTATTTGCTATTACAGGAAAAATTAAAGACATTACTAAAGTACGATTCAACTCTCAACTCTTATCAGTAATAAAATACTGCTTACCCCTTACAAATAATGTTCATGGGTGATTTGAAAATAGATCGTGCAGTATTAATCTAATAAATGGGCATTATAAGACACTTGCTTAAATTGCTGAAGTGAAGGTCACTACATTAAAGATATAACCAAACAACCATTTTGATGAAGCTTGGGGTTGGAAAAATATGTCACAACCTTAAATGTCCTTGCATGCCTTGAGATTTATTAAAGCATGTGTTCTATTTAATACCCTCACTGGAAAGTAGTGTTAAATCTTATTCTAGGACAATAGAGTTTAACTAACCCAGTGATTATGTTTTAACACAGCTGGTGACAGACTTCTGCATGTTGTGTGAGAAGCTTAAACCGGGACTCATTGCTGAAGTGAACAGCCACCCAGACCAATGAGCCATGCCGTATCAAGGATCTCAGGACCTCTGCGCTGTATTTGACACAGTTTTTTTACTTGGACACTCAGGATACACACAAAAAAACAACTAAGGACACTGAGAAGACAATCCTAATCTGTGGCGCCTTGTTGAAACCATAGTGGGTGATCAACAGCAGCTGAGGGACAGGAGTGGCAGAGGAGGAGTCGGGGGCGGTAGGGCCCTGATAGGAAGACAAACGTAGCTACAACGCTTCCAATATCTGCTGCCATACAAATCCCAAGGAGAGAACTGGTGACTAATGAATTTCCACACCATCAATCCCTCCTCCCGTGGGTCAAATGATCTGATCCCTCAGTTTGCAGCTGTAAGCCCCTGGTCGTGTTCAGTGTGTGTACTTTCCTACCCTCCACCCTCGGGCTCCCAAAGCTTACACCCTCTAGTTGAGTGCAAGTGTGTTTGTGCATAAACATTTACACACTGTACTGTACTATGCACACCCTCACTAGGTATTAAAAAACATGCTGTAAGTAAACGTAGGCAATTACAGTCTTAAAGGAACTCCTTACAAAGGTAGAACAATCCAGTTTCTGGGCCAAACGACAATAAATTCGACCAGCAGGCCTCAGCTCTTGCTGACCGTCCAATCTCTAAATGAACAAACATTTCTGATGTCTTTTATTATTCACTTATTTCTCTGATACCTTTACCCAGTGTGACTCTGCAATGGTTGCGGTGAACTGATTGTTTACAACATTCGGTGCCCATTCAAACAGCTGGCCTTGCTGGAGCAAGCTGGGAGAGCACCCTGGATTTATTGGCAGTGACCACACCTCTCTATAGTTATGACTACAGAGCCCTGTGGTATGTATAATTGGTTCACTGGGACCTTTGAGTAAGAATCAGTCAGTCCAATCAAATGGCAATCTCCATTTTGGATTCTTAGTTAGAGTGTTCTTTCACTTTTTTTAAAAGCAATCATCAGACATCCCATCTTTATTAGATATTAATTTACCACAACTTATTAGTCAATGCCCCTGTGGTACAGGATTTTTTTTATCATTATGTTTTCTCATTATTCATAATAGTGTACAGTAGTTGTGATTCTGTTGAGCTGAATGTTGAATTAGTTTGTTCAACAACTGGTGAAAATAAACACACCACCAAACAGCAATGAAGCTGTTCAGTGAAAAGCAGGTTCCTTATGTAATAAGCTGATTTTTAGTGCACTTAAGAGAAAGAAAGTTAGCAAAAAGAAAGTCTGAAGGACCATCACATGACAATAAATACTGAATGCATACACAGTGAACATATCATTTTGCATGGGTAATCTGCTTTCATTTTCTGGCTTTATGATGAGTAGGATTCAGATGGAGAATACAGGTGAACACAAGTAACGCAGGCAGAACAGTGCACTGAGGAATTCCTGAGTGAACAGGTTGTGGTTGTGAGCAGACATGACCTACTCTTGGCTAGCGCTCTCTTCCTTGCACACAGGATGCCTTTCGCCACAGAAGAGCAGTCATGGAAATTAACGGATTAGTGACTTAACACGGAGAGCCCATGATTCACAGAGTTAACAGCTTATGGTAAAATGTGCACACTCTATCAGATTGAATGCCAGAACTAACCTTTCTTCAAATACTATGGAAAATGTTGGAGAACTTGCATTTGATGTTACTGTAACACAGCAATGGTACTGAATGTTTCAAAAAGAGGTGTAATTGAATCAATCTGAAGCAGTGTTAATATTCATATAAATCTCTAACAATAGCAAGACAAACGGTGGTGCTTTTATTTAGTGGATTTATGTTTAGCAGTGAGTGTCTGGTTTCACTATTAGATTATCGACAAATGCATAACTTTGTAGGAGGAAGCTGTGGATCTCATGAGATTGGGAAGGTATTAGACATACAGTATTGTTAGAGTAAACAGGTGGTCTTGATACTCATGTTTATCTTATATTATTACTATAGTACGCCATCTTAGGGGACAGAAGGACTTTGGTTGGTATAATATTTAGGGTTTACCTTCTCAGCATGACGTTTTAGACTGATGATTATGTCAGTTCAGCAACATAAAGACAGATTTAGAAGTCACTACTTGATTTCATGTGTTTGTAATGAAAACCTTGAAGCAGTAAGATAATTCTGTAGCTGTTAAAGGAATAACATCATAGGAGATGGTGATACTGTACTTCTAGAAGGGCCTAGGAGAGGCCTACCTGTTCTTACTTGATTTTTAGATTAATTACACTCATCATGTTGGTTTAAAATGCAGGATATTTTTAAAGTTCAATGCTAATCACATGTTTAGGCTTCTGTTACTTTTCCTCACACTAATTAACCTTTGCGTAAAACTGTACGTCTGCTAAGATCTTGGTAACTGCCCATTTGACATCACTTCAAAACACGCACATCACGTTTTTTGTGTTAAGGGAGTAAATTATTGGCCTGAAAACCCAAACCATAGATTTATCGTAGTATTATTACCAGTGTATATACTTTGAGCATTTTATCTTGATCTGATTAGAAGATCACTTCTAAAAGAGTAATGATAGGTGTCAATCATTAGCACGGTGCCCTGGCTTATTTTTCACTTCAGGTTTGATGATCTGTGTTATCTAAATATCCCAAAGGTTATTTCCCAATTGTCCACCTGACAGGCTGTACAGTGGATTTTCTAACACAGAATGTGTTTCATATTATCATGAAGTGGATCCCTGTCTAGATGTGAAGCACATGGGATTAAAAATTGTGATATTAGATATAGGCATTTACAATTTATTAGAATTATTAGATAAGATCACTTTATTGGCCATACACAATTTCTTGTATTAGGAATTTGTCTTTTCGCATACCCCAGCTTGCTCTCCATGGGACACACAGACAAGGAGAGAAGCTTGGGGTCAGAGCGCAGGGTCAGCCATTTATACTGCGCTCCCTGGAGCAGCTGGGGTTAAGGGCCTTGCTCAGGGGCCCAACGAAGTAGGATTCCTCTGCCGGCCGCAGGATACAAACCGGCAACCTTCTAGCCACAGGCGCAGATCCTTAGCCATAGAGCCACTGCATAAAAAGGCTTGATCTAGAAAGCAGAAAAATTAAAAGTAAAATGTCAGTGAAATTTCAGTCTGAGATCGTATATATGATCTTAGATTGATTCAAAACACATACATAAAATAAATATACTGTATGTATCTAGTGTGGATGTGGTAATTTCCTCTGTTTTGGTGTCACTGTTTTTCATGCTATATGAGCTAAACTAGAACATTTGTTGGGATTCTTTCAAAAGTATTCAAGATTTTCATTATGTATAATCTTAAATTTCTTTTTTATCTAAGCTACTGACATTAGGGAGATAGATGTTCGACCCGAATCTCTCCCTGTGGTGTATGTACAGTACAGTACACTCTTGTGGGAATAAGCACTGTGTTTCAATCGACTTCAAACATTAGCTTCACTGATCCACTGACAGAAACCAGTGGGAGGATTCAGGGACCTACAGCTGATTTCACCCCCCCATTGTCATGGTCGTAGACCCCTCCTCTTAAGGACGCTCCAGCCCTTCCTTGTTTTCCACTCATCGCCCGCACCTGCTCCCTGGCTTAAAAGCCAGGCGCTCACTTTAATCCGGGCTCTGCATTTCATCTCCGTATCGTGCGAGTCCGGGACCTGGAAGCGCCTGGTCCCGTTACGGTTTTATTCTCCGTTCCCATTCCTATTCCGCCAGTTCCGATCCGGTTCCCTTTTTTAATTGTGACTCTTGGACGGACTGCCAGGTTTTGGACTTTTGCTTTCGTTTGGATTTTCTCCTGGATTGTTTGCTTTGGCCACACCCCTCCCGAACACCAGAGCACCAAGGACACCCCCCCACCTCCGTATTCATTCCCGATTCCTGCATGACTTTTTCCTAGTGTTTCCCCACTACATCCCGGATTGTGTCGTCCGCATAGGGTCTGGAAAGAACTGTTCCGTTACACCCATGGACAAATAAACCATTAGGGAGACACTTCATCTCACTAGACAGCCTTCGAATAGAAACAGCTGAATTCTGATCTGAAATAATTCTGAAAATTATTTCAAGTAGGGAGCTGCGTCAGCGTGCATAGGCTGCAAAGGAACAAGTAAAAGTTTATCACCCGGCTTGACACCCTGAGAAGGCTCCACAGCCGAAACATTGTGTTTCCTTTTCCACTCTTTTCAGGATTAGAAAATTATGTTGTCACAAAAGTTAATAAGGCTTTGAGGTAATAAAACACAGAGAAACAATTTCTTCTGAGATTCACAATGCCTTTAATTTCTTGACTGTATGGCTCTAGGTTGGGCTAACATTATCAAAATCTCACCTGTTTTGTCCCAGTTATTTATACAATAAAAGTGAGACAGACATCCTATTGACATGGTGTTTACTATCTTTCTACATTTTAAAAGTTTGCTTTAACTTAAGCAGATCTTTAGAAATGGAGGAAATTAATAAGAAATAGTGGGTGCTTGACTCCTCACTTTAAAATGGATTCTTTGTGGACTAGAATGACATAAGCTTCAATTGGTTCTAATTTAATACTAATACTAGTTTTAAAAAAAATCAGGTTCTTAATGCCTGTAAATAATAATGTAATTTCAATAAATTCCAGTAAAAAAAGAAACGGTTTTTCTCTCCTGTCTCAGGTTTCAGTCATTTCCTGCAGAGCCGCAGCATGTTAGCTAACCATCGTGTGTTTGTCTGTAGCGCCACCTAGTAACTAAACTTTGCTTAGCTACTATACTTCTGTCTGAATTACTTTTGAATAATGTGCTGCGCGTAACTCCGCTTCTGTAATAGGAACAATTTGGTGGTAGGTATTGTAATTCAAGGATTAATTTAGTCAGTGACCAAAACGTTTTACATATACAAAAGACTCACTGCTTTTATAGAGCTTGCAATGAAAATGAACACATATTTATGAGAATGTGTGATAATTCTGTTCTTTAGTTTAATCTTTCCTTGCTGTGATATTATCAAAGGGGGAGGTACAAGTTCTCAAGTTTAAATGAAGTGTAACGAGATGGAAAAGAGGGAATATATTGTGTATTGTGAAAGTGACCAGGACAACAGCACAGGCTCAAAGCGCTGGACAACACTAATGGCTTGCTCTTCTGAGATCCTGCTTTAGTTGGAATTTCTATTTATTATATTACATGTCATTGAAATTATTTTGAATTTTAACTAAAACTGCAAAAACAAATCAAGACCAATTAACAATGTCTATTGAGATGATGTTGATTTTGCTTTGCATTTTGTTTTTACAAATTTGAAACAGAGTGAAGTTAAGCTTATTTGCTCATCCATTAACAAGTTTACTGTACCTCATTCATCCCATGTCTTCAGTTGGCATCTCCTCCTTAGTAAAACAGGGACACATGAGTGTTTTATTATTGCCACCAGTTGGCAAAGGGGTGACCTGTTAATTATTCTTTCCATCTGAAAAAGCCACGTACAAGGATCACAGGTACAATTTTTAAAATATTTTATTTCTTATAGAAGCAAAGGTAAACTCAGGATGCGGAGGTGGTTCAATAACTATTGCCTACTGTTTATACTGTATGTCAGTAGAGGGTTGGAAATTTAGAACTACAATAAAATATGTGTCCAATATATGCTACCAGTACCGACAAGCATCAGGATAACTAGGATAGCACCAATAATCAATGCTTTCAGGCTGAATTGTCATTTCCTAAGTAGTTTCATTGTTTAAGAAATGATTAATTCTCTGATTTACTGAAACCATTGTTTCCAGAATACCATACTGTATATTTCTAATGGGTATTGAAGGCTAGGACTATCCTTAAATTTGGACTCAGACATGTCAATTTCTAAAAATAAGCAGTGAATCAAGTATGGCTTCTATTATTGTCATAAAATATTGCTACTGTGGCTCTAAAAGGTAACATACATACAAAAAAACAAGTAGCTTAATATCTAGTATTCATTAAAACCAATAAATCAAGGCATGATACTAGTTATACTATAAAAGGCTGGAAGATATCATTGGATTAATTAGCTACCATGAAGAAAGCAAGCTAGATGAAACAAATGTCTAATAAATGAAAATAAAATTCCATTATACATTGAAATGCATTTGAAATCAGAAAATTATTTATTAAAAAATGCTCCATTGTACATTGCAATGCTTTTGCACTGACCCCTCAATACAATGACAGACACCTTCAAAGCCCAGAAGCTGCTCACATGATCCAGCACATGAACATCAGAACAAAAGACAAATTGTCCTGAGAAAGGTAAAAAGAACAAAAAACATTAAATGCTCTCTCTCATCAATCGTGTTCACATCAGAGTTGCCAAAACAATAATACAACACGGTATTCAGACTATAAAAAGGGGATTTAAGAATCATGAACAAATAATGCATCAGCATGCAGGCTCTGAATGACACTTTTCGTAACAAGAATGACCTGCAATTCTAAAATTTTCCTGTTACGATATTGTACACAATAATGGTGCCGTGTTCGATAAAATCTAAGAGAATTTATCTGCGAAAAATAAAGTGCATCACAAAAAAAGTAAAAAAAAAACACGTGCAAAGTGAGTGAAATATGTAATAATACAACTACTTCAAAATAAGTATTGAAAGGGAAACCGGGGGTCAGAACAGATCCTCAGTGAGGGTAATGATTTTATTCACTGCTTGAAGTGGGGATGAACTGTTCCCCTTTTGCGACCGAGAGATAGCTGAACAGTTTCTGAGGATGCCTGGCCGAAAATCATGGGAATGGGTCTTAACCCAACATGCTTTGCCTAAACCCCGCGACTCTAAATGTTGAGTTGCCACCTGCTAGTGGGCACAGACACGGGGTTTAGATTTTAGACGACGTCGCCTCGGGGTATCCCTGCGGCTCCCTGAGCGGTCACTGCGGCCGCCGTGGTCGGAGACAGACGCGAGAAGCCCCGAGGAAGGGTATCGGCTGTCGCTGTCGGCTCCACAAACACGGCCCCGTCGCCCGGTCTCGTCGACGGCGTCTTCCTTAAGGTCGCCGGTGTCGCTTCGCACGGAGTTACCTCGCCCGCGCCACCGCCCCTGTGGACGCCGGCTGGCTTTCTTCTCTTAGCCGACGGGTGAGGACTTTCAGGGACTGCGCCGGTTCCCCCCGGGAGTTCAGGCATTGCAGTGGTTGGGCTACTCCCCTGGTGGGCAGGATCTGTGCCTTGGTCCCCTCTACCGTCCGTAGGCTCACGGTTTTCTGGGGTTGGCAAAATACCCCTAGGAGTAGGGATGTCTTCCTCCGTTGCTCCGCCGCCCTCGTTCTTTGTGATGCCCCTGTTAATTCCTCCAGTAATTACTGGGATTAAAATTCCGCTGTATACAATCTAAAGTGTAGGGATGGAGAAACATGTTAATTTTACGTGGATGTTGTTGGGTTTTTTATCAATCAATCAATCAATCAATCAATCAATCAATCAAAGTTTATTTATCAAATGCACTACAATACAGCGTGCAGCAGTAGTTGCTGGCAATGAAATGTCTTTTCTGCGAGCTCACCGGGGGACGGTAAAAATCACTAAATTAAAGCTACAGAATAAGGTTCCATACATTATGTTATGTTAATACACAGTAGTGCAATAGAAATTAAATAAAATAAACTCAGACAGAGCTCAAAATAAATAGAGCTGCGATGTGTCCAGGGTGTATGCAATACATTATGTCCAAGTAGTGCAGTGTGCCGAAAACAGTGGAAACTGTATGTCCATGTAGCAATTACGGGTGATTTGCTGAAGGAACTGCAGCTTGGCTATTAAGCCTGACAGTTTTGCCAAATTGTTTTAATCTGTAAAGCTAAGGAATCTGATTAAACCCAAATTCTACTCATCTGCTAATTATAAATAGCAAACCTACTGTATAATTCAATGTTTGGATTCCACTAGGTAGAAAAAAACATCTGGCCACCATCATGCCTTCGTGCATTATAATATCATCAAGTACTGCGTGTGTAAATTGCATTTGGTGGGTGGCTGATTTTTTAAAATTTCATCTGGGCCTTGAAGTGAATCAAGTTGATACACCCTTCATTCGAATCTTTCATGAAATAAAAAAAACGGTGTAAAACTAAACAAAGACCTGGCAGTGACGTGTAGAGTTGAAGACTTATAGATATAAAACCGGAAACGATGAGCTTGACATGGACACGTCAGTTACACTTTCTAATCGACACGATAGGGGAAGCAAGAAAAACCTGAAGATAATGCTGGGAAATGTAGTTAAAACTGTCAAATATTTAATCAAGGGGTTTATGTTACATTTGTACAAGGCAGTAGTGAGATATCACTTAGAATGCTTGATACAATGTTATGGAACAAGCTATCCAGCAATGTTGTTGAAGTCGGTACCCTGTTTTTTTTTCCCCAAGAAACAGCTGGATAACCCAGCCCTTGGCTGCTACTGTAGCTACTAGCTTAGTTACTATGTTAGGTACTAGCTACAGCTACTAGCTACTAGCAAACAAACAAAGCTATAAGGGATGAGTGAGTTACACCTCTTTTCCAGTGTGAGCCCCAGTGGCCTAATGGATAAGGCACTGGCCTCCTAAGCCAGGGATTGTGGGTTCGAGTCCCATCTGGGGTGTCTTGTTTTAAGAGCTCTGTGATGAGTGAACAACTTGACTGTGTGTGTTAATAAACACACCTCTTTCCAGCTTTTCTTATGTTTCTTATAAACAATAATGTGCAAATAAAGTATGGAAAAAAGTAAATACAGTGTTTGCTGTACCCAAAATGTCAGTAAATGTAATTAAAATAGAAAGACTACTTTCCCTAACACACAGCTTACAGTAAATGTAACCCGCAGGAGGTGAAATAGGAAAATAATTTTATTCTAATAGTAAAGGTAATATTAGTACAGTGCTAACACCTCATACTCTAAAATTCTAAATGGCAAGACTGCAGATGAGAGAAAAAATAAAGAATACATTTATAAGTAATTGCACAGGTTAATAATATAATTCAAAGTAATTCAATTAATGGTTCCCTTCTTTGATTTTACCATTTTTAATGAAAATGAAGTTCTGTACATCAGTACTTGAAATTGTGCAAAAATAAGCTACAGTTTTAATTCATTTTACTTACTGGTTGAAGCTGGGGTTCTTCAGAACTTGCTGACCCAGCCTGGAAAAGACAGATTATCAAAGAACTGGTCAGTTTATTATAAGTATTGAAATTACTTCCAGACTTACATTGAAGTTTGTGAATATTTTTGGAGCAAACAATTACAAAATAGCAATATTGTTTATAATATGACTCCTCAAATGAAAAACACTTACTGTTTGTGCCTGCTGAATCATGATTGTGTACATCTGGAAAGAAAAAATATTATTTCATTTTCAAGAAAAGAACAGCAATAACAAATCAAGCAGAAATTCATTATACATCATAACCATATTAGTGCTAGTGCTTTTGTATTGAAGAGGCAAATGTGCTGCTTCTCAATTAAAGATGAAAAGTGAATTGCTATTCGATACTCTAGGATAAGTTTTAGAATAGAATAGAACAAAAATATTTTCTGTTCTATAATACAATAATAATGGAAAAGACCTTAAGATGACCATAATACACAGAATAATCAGAGCAAAACTTACTGGTGGCTGAACATCAGTGTTGGAGAGAGGACTTATAAGTTGTATCGCTGGAAGGTATGTGAATCCACCCTGATACAATGGAAGAAAGATGTGGTTATACTATAGTTTGATGTAGAATTTTTTTTTTTTAGTTTTTCTCACCAGTTCATTATTTAATAAACTGCTTTTCAGAGGCATTTGTATACGTTATGATTACGTGTCTATATGCAGTACAGTATTAAATCTAAAATATGAAATCATAGAAATTTAATTTTAAAAGAAGGAATTAATCATTGACTATTTTCAGCAATCAGTTACGGTAGGAAAGATCATTAAAAATCATCAATACATTTGAAAGTTGATGAATTGCCATACAATAATTACATTTTGTAACATAAGGACTACATGGCTATGAAAAGTAACTACAGTAAAAGCAGATGTAATGATGAGTTGAATTATTCAATGTGTTTATTGAATTTAATAAATAAGATGTATGTTAAAGTTGATCTACTGTATATCGACTGTGAAGTATAGCTATCAGATAATGAGAACATATTAGAAGAAGGGACAGAAGAATAAAATATTAAGAATTCTAAGTTAATTAAAGGATTAATTATGTTCATATTACCTGAGTCTGTTGATCTGACACTATTGGAACCTGAGGCATAAATGATATCAATTGGAAATTTCCATACATGGGATCCATATTCATAACCTGAAATGCACACCAAAAATATTTTCTCTTAGTAGTGTTTACTTCTACTAGCGAGCTAAAAAATGTTTAAGACAAAGCAAGACCAAGGCTTTTTGAAATTGTGTTTTCTCAAAACCTAAAAAATAAGTATTCATTTTAACTGCTCTTATTATCAATATTGACTTACTCTTAGTTCTTTCTTGTCTGCTTAACTGAATCAAAGAAGCACAGTCCAGAAAATCAGGGTATTACTTCTGAATAATGACCAATATTTTTTTTTATTCATGTGTGGATTGCAGATGAGATTTTCATGCGCATCTTAAGCACTTTTTAAAGTTTTGATTCCCACTTAATTATTATGCCCCCCACAGGGACAACGAGAAGGAATTGCAGAAAAACACATATGCAATCCACTCGTCCACTGAGTCATTCACTGGAAACGGGACGAACACTTCAGCAGCAGCCAGGAAGAGACACGCCTCTCTCACTGACATCAGTGCCAGTCTGCAGACACACGGTAAATCACAGAGTCCAAGAGAGGCCAATCATAGAGTCCAGGAGACCACAGGCAGACTTCTCCCAACCCCACCTCTGAGCTCCACCACTCGGGGAATCCTGTATAATCGGCGATTGACGGGACCCACACTCTAACTCAAGACGTCTTGACTCAAGAATTCGAGAGCGAGCCCAACCTGCTCTCCCTTTTACTGGTTAAGCCACTCAGGATCCTGTCTTATGGATATTTCTGATGGATGGAGTAGGTGATTAGGAAGGTGAAAGAATGCCAGTTCTTTCTAGGCATTCATTTTAGGCACGGATTATAGATGTTAATGCTTATTTGAAACTGACAATAGGACTAGGGTCATCCTGAAATCTAAGCTCTGGTTTGTTAAGTAATTTATACAATCTATATTGTCCTGCTTTTCCTTTCTTGAAAAGTCCCACGATTCTTTTAACTGTGACTCATACACAGGTACTGTAGATTTTCTAAATCTCATTTTCTTTCATTTTCAATTGGGGTGTGGGATGGCACTCAACATCCCACACCCCAATTGAAAAAAGCAAAAACAAACATGAAATGAAATTCATAAAACCTGCATTAGAAAGCACAGGACAAAGAGAGAAATTAAATTCGAAACTTTTTGGATATGGACTCACTTGCTGTTGTGGTGTGAGAGGCGGCTGGGGCATCTGACCCTCGACTTGCATCGGAAGAACTGAGGGGAAGCCAGCAGTCGTGTCGAAAGGTTTAGCATTCCCTGCCTGGATCTAAATCCCCAAAAATAAACCAGGAAATACGGGGAAAAAAGATCTTTATTTTTTTCACTCCCTTGCTGTCCTTCATGCTGTCTATCCATCTGTCTCATTCAGCTGCAGCTGATGTTTCCTCTGTTGTAAGCTTTGAAATGAGAACTAAAGGGATGTTTTTTAAAAATAATTGATAGGTAGACATGTATCCCTTATATAAGGTAAAAACAATTCCTTAATCCACAAATATATTTCAGTGTTTATCATTTATACAAAAGCATGCCATAAAGTTCTGACAACAAGTTCTAAAAAGACAACAAAAATAACATTTAGCATGAAAAAACTGAGATACCTGGGGTGTATTCATAACATTACCATAGCCTTGTCGAAGCATCATCTGAAATAATAATGAAGATAATGTGAAAAGTTTTGAATACAAGAATCCAGTTTCTTGAACTGAGCACATTTAAAAATATAAAAATACCATTGTTTATTTTTTTCCAAAAAGATTTTGGTGCAGAACATACAGTACATGTAAGTTACTGTATGTAAATCAAGACTTACTAAAACAAATTAATCAGATGTGGAAAACATTCATAAAGACTGCTGTTGATGCCTTTTAAACAATGAAGACAAAACAGGCCTTCAACATGACCATTAGTCATTTGAAATTTCATAGGCATCCGGTTTTTCCTGAGTCAACACTGGTCAGATTCTTTTTCCATAAGGACCTACTGTAGATACACGTGTCCTATGATACCAAATATACAGTACCACCCTTTCCCAGTGTTTTATAGAAAAAAAACACAAATTTTATTACTTTTTTTTAATTATTTCTTTGAAATGGCAAGTAATTCTGCAACACATCAACTGAGAATTAATGAAGATATCTGAACTGTACCTCAGCACTGATGCTTCCTATAACTCTTCCATTGTGAATCACCTGTTAAATGAAAAACAATTTGGTATTCTTGTCTTTTTGTGTAAAAAAGGAAAGATTTCTTTTATCAGAAAGCTGAGCAGATACTTACAGGTCTTCCTGAACTCATCACAAGGCAGAGCATGAAAATCAGAGCTTTCATATTGTAAATGGATGTGTGAAGCGAAGAGCTTTGTTAGTGTCAAAATGTAGAATATTTTCACAAATTAAAATTGACTCATTAAAAAATAATTCCACTGTATTTTTCCTTGTTAGCTTTCCTGGTACATGCAGCACTACTGTGTAATACAGAGCGCAGTATTGTAATATCTGTTATCATTAAAGTTTTCACTTTGTCTGTGAGAATTTAAACTATGTTCTCTTTTAAAAGGAGCCAATCAGGTCAAAGTAAAGGGATATGTATTAAGTCTAAATTTTACAACGTTTCATTTGCAGGTTTTCTTTAGCACATATCATTATACCTTCCTCCAGACACATACAGTATGTGTGTCATCACGTTTTATAACATGTCATTATGTCAAGTCTTTCAAACTACAGTGTTCATCATATTAACCCAAATAATCCTGAAATATAATTGTATTTCATTGTAAGGGAAATTGAAAGTATTTGCTTTTCTTAACCATTCACAAGATCCTTTCAGAAAGGTTTGTAAGGATATTGTCTGTATTCCAGAAATGTCAAAGAAACATGATGTGCAAAATACCAAATTTTTCTGATCTATTGACAATGTAAGGGCAAAGATTATTGTTCATTTTTTTACATTAAACATGAAGTCCTGAGAGTTAAGTTATTTTCTCTCTGATACTTGTCTTCAGTGTTCCTAGCAAACGTCATGATTTTAAAAAAGCTCAGACACCAGTCTCAAGTGCTTAATCCTTTGTGGAAAGCATGCTTAGTTGAAATCATTCAACTGTCTAGCTCGGTGGATATTCATGTGGAACCAGACAGTGCTTTATGGTACAGTATACATATATTTTTCAGGTCTGTACTTCAAGGGAGTTATGCCTTTTATTTTATTTCTCTTTATTCAACGGAACATGTGTTAATCTGTAAATCAACCAAAGAGAAGCCAATGTCATCGTGACATTTTTTACAATTGTTAAATGCTTTTACGTGGAGGTCTGCTGTATTCATTGAATTGTTGATACTGTAGGTCCCATCTGTAATTCAAACTCAGACAGCTTAACCTTCATTTAAACATAAAACAAAGCTAGAGAACAGAAGAAAAGTTGACAAAATACTCTAAATGAAACGTCACAGAATGCAACTTTTTAGAAAACAGTCAAATGATCTGGAATAATTTCAGGACCTTGCCAATAAATGTTCTTGATACTGTATTGATAGGTAAATGAATCCTTTAAGGCCATGAATGGTGTCTCTGCCCCTTATATTTCTGATCTCACACACTGCTCACTCCACACCCCAGCTTTCTAAGGCTGGTATCTTGCTTATTCCCTAAATAAAATTGCAAACTGTGGGTGATGGTGTTTTCTCCTATTAGGCACCCCATGCTATGGAATACTCTTCCATAAAGACAGGGTATTTTTGCTAATAATATTCAAATCTCTCCTTACAACATTGTTTAGCTGGTGCTCGGTGGCTGTTCAGGTCAGGAAAAGACAGACATTTGAGCCAACCAGCCACTAGAGGCTGTTACAGGCCTCTGTTACAATTTTGTAATTAGGCACACTTGTGGTGACTTTGTAGTGACTAGATAGTTTAGATTGAATTGGTTCACATTGTCACATGGGGGTGAAGAAGTGTGTTTGGGACATAAAGGTCTTCATTGCAAAGTTTTGTGTTGTAGTGGGGGTGCATGTAACAATACAGACTGTTTTCACTGTGTATCTCCTTACCACCATTCTCTTACTGTGCTCAGGCCCTGTGAGCCACCTTCTCTAGGTTAATGTCTGCCATTCATCCTGTAGATATTCTGATATATTTTGCAGGGATGTATTTTCTTATGTTTATAGTTTTTGTTTTTTTGTATTGTATAGTGACTTTAAATGTTTCTTGGTGAAAGACACTTTACAAAAATAAAGATATTTGATGCTATTGTAAAACAGGTAGGAGCATGAAAGTGGTGGCCTAGATGCATAAGTACAGCAGAAATTACAGCCAATCATATCAGTATCAGTGACTTTATGAGCTGTGAATGGAAATAATTGCTTTAGAGCAGATCAAATTCTGTACCAAAAATGCAAAGAAAATAACTTGGTTCTTGTCAAATATTCTTAGCTCAGGGAGGTAGGCATTTATATATACATACATTATTTGTGCTTAATACAAGACAAAGAGTGGTGGTTTCAAATTTCTTAGTGATATAACACTTAGTGACAGTTGGCCGAGGAGAAGGGCTGTTTACACTGGCAAACTTTTCTCTCAGCTGTTCTTACTTTTGGCCACAAGGTGGCAGCAGTACCTTCCTGAAAAACCCAGTGGAGACTCGCTGACGCGTACAGGCGCATTACTGTACTTCACACTAAGACAGTTGTGCTAGGACCTAAAGACTGATATTAGATCATTTAAATCTATTCAGTATTTCGTAATATAAATGTATTAATGCTTTATTTTTAAAATAATGTTAAATATCATGAATTGCATTACCATTTCAACCAGAAGCTATATACTGTAAGTACCTTATATCAGCATGCAGAGGCTATCGGCTGTGGAGCCTCTTCAGGTGCGTAGGCAGAGCGCAGAGATATGAGGAAAGAAGGGGGTGGCCAAACGAGAGAAGGAAAAGGTGAGAAGAGTACCAAGACTGGGCGCCGGGGGTGATGATTTCTGGGGGGAGTACGGAGGGACAGTGTGCCGTCAGCACCATATTGCCTCTGCTCTCTAAATAATTTAAGACTTCTGTTTCTTGGAGATGCAAACTTATATTTAATTATTTAAATACAGTTGGAAAAGGAATCGAGGAATGGAGTCTACTTTCCAGTTATGAGTTAACTGATGCCTCTCTTTGGGGTCTCTTTGGGGAATTCAAAGTCCTCGATAATGATATGATCAAGATTATAGCCCAGATGTGTTCTCAGACCAGGTTTACATATATCCCCCAGCTCTTGACAAATGACAGATGTCTTTTAATCTTTTCTTCCTCTACGTAAATGAGTACAGTACGTGCACACAGTATCTAAAATTTCATGATCGTATTTTGTGATATTCTTCCGTTGCTTTTAAATCTGGAAAGTGGAAGAATTTTATTACAAGTTTGTTTTTAGTGAGTACTTACTCCTTTCGCGTTGTTAAAGGTTGTTTGTTTGTACTCGTGCACTGTATTAGAATCGGTGTAGACAAAACATTACTGCAATAAGTGGAATTTATTTTTCAGCCAGCAGATGCTGAATATTTCGTCAGTGCAGTTTGCGGTGTTTTGAAATACGGGATAATCACACAACGCTGCTAGCAGAAAGGTTTTGGAAAATTCCAGGGGAGCAGAATCATGTAGCAACAGGTGAGGTGATTACTGAGGTACATGTACATGTGACACACAGAGACGTACAGACAGCTTTTTAACGCCGGTTTCAGGTGCTTCCATTTGACAGAGATTAGCGAGTTTTACTGGATTTACATTAATCCAGTAATAGTAATGTCAAAGTGCACAAACTCATTCTGAGGTATAATTATCTTGCAAAACTATAATTTCTTAAACAGTCCTGCAAGGTCAACACACCGTTGCACACCAAGCATAGACTTGAATAGAAACTGGGCATATTTATGCAATCTTGAATTCCACCAAAATGTATTATTCTATAGACATGGAACCTAAAATAGACGAAACATGGGTGTCAGCATATATCTTACATTGTTGAATATTGAAACAATGTAACAGGTAGTCTCACAGGTAAAGAAAAAAGCAAAGATAACTCTAAATTGTCACCTACCTACTAGAGTGAACAAAAAAAAAACAATATGTAAGATCATCATACTGAAGTAAGATCAGAATATCTCATGAACAAAATGTCTTGTTTTTGTTTTAGATGAGAATATACTGTAATCTTCTTTACAAGAACATGAAACAGGATTTTTTTTTGGCTTCTGTAACTTTAATAGAGGCCAGATTTTATATGGTCTCTATCATGTTGCACGTATTTGAGAAATAAAAACCACAAATCTAGTAGGACTTTTAATTTCTAAAGAGAGTATACTGCTGTAGTCTAATGTACAGTACTTTGAAGCAGTCAACAAAATGCAAGTACATACAGTATATCACAGCAAAACATGTTTTCCCAGGTTTACATTGCTCTTAAGAGTGATACAGTATTTGAAACACTAAGATGTAATACAGGTCTGACATAATCTAGTTTTTAGTTTCTAACAGCTCAACCTTGTGAGGTATTGGATCATTAAATAGTTTAACAGTTCTGAAAACATGCAGTATATTAACAAATCTCTGCCTGCTCAATGTGTTATATAAGAAGTAAAGCCCTGTTTTTCACCAGAAAGTAACATAAATAATCACATTGCTTAAACACAATGTTTCTTTTTAATGTTTTTAGTGTTGTAACTCAAAACTGATTGATAGCCATAGGAAAAAACATTTTGTTTCAAATGAATGTTCATATTAATACATTCTTAAACTCACCCCTTCAGAGCCAAAACAGTGAGTTCCAGTATGTTTTCTGTACAAAAGAGGGAGCTGTTTACTACTGATTAGCAAAACATTAAGTCAAATGTATTAGATTTTATGACATAAAAACACATAAATGTCAAATAAAACATGTAAACAAAAAAGTTCAACATAGGCTTTGTTATAGTATTTATTTAAAAAAATTGTCAGAAAATTAGTTTGTCATGTTGCTAATATTGTATTATGCATTATCACAGTATATAGAAAGCAACCAATTTGATAAAAATACTTTCAAAGGCAGCAATGTAACAGGGAATATTTTTAAAATGACTGTTTATTTTCTGAAAAAGCATGTTTCTCAGAACCAGCTTGATACAGCAATATTCTTTAAGTGTTTAAGACCTACAGTACATATTCAGTACCTACATAACATATTGAAACAAACTTAGAATTGTTTTTGAATTGATATCTAATCCCTCAGTAGCTTTATTAATAGATGAGCATGTAAAGTAGCTATTGCTTCATTTCTAATTAATGGCTCCTTGATCATTTAACAGTCTACAGGGAGCATAAGGACAGATTCAGAACTTCTAAAATAATCATGCTGTGACTAACAACATTTGTTCACTTCTTAATCCAGGTTTTTCAATGAAATGTGGAAAACAAATTGTGTACGATATATTAATCACTGAGAGGCACAGTTGCACATGGTTAGCATTGCTGGGGACCTACAGTAGGTTCAATCCCAGATTATTAAATGTGAATAATACACAGGAAGTTTGTTCTCTCTGTGTTCACATGGGTTTACTCCCGGGGCTCCGGTTTCCTCCCACAGTCCAAAGGCATACGAATACGTTAATTGGCTTCTGGGAAATTTGGCCCGGGTTCACCTGTGCATGTCTGTGCTTCCTGTTCAGTGTGTACTCTGCCTCTCTTCCGTTACTTGTTGGGGTGAGCTGAAGCTCCCCTGCGACCCTGAATTGGAAGAAGTGCTTACTAAAGGGATGGATGGATATGAATCACTAGATAGAGAACCGAGGAACTGAATAAAAAAGTTGTATAATTTATATGCTGTATGTTAAAACATATTTAACAAATCAAATGTAAATTGTCAAATCACTTAGAATTGAAATATGTATAATTTAAATGGACTGGGGCGCCTCCTTTGTGCACAGGCTGATTTAAATTCATAGATGTCTCACAGTTGTCTTTGGGTGCGTTGTGTGTAGTGTGTAGCTTTCAGACACGGCAAACGTTACCGTAACAAAGGAACAAGTAATATTACTTGTTCCTTTGCAGCCTACGCATGCTGACGCAGCTACCCACCTGAACTGTTACCGTAACAAGCAGTCTTCTGATAAAAAGGGTGGAAAAACACTCAGAAGTTGCGTGGAAATCATTTTATTTATACAAGTGGAGTTAGGAAAAGATGTGAGGTTCCAGAAAGTTGGAGCTCACACTCAAGTTACCGTTTCACAGTCATTTGCGCAAAAGCTGTGCCTGTGTGGCAAATTGTTTCTGGATAAATTTGTTATATGAAGTGACAGACCAAAAGATTACAAGTACATCACTGCAGTGAATATGTGAGTTAAGTTGCTGAAGAATCCTTTCACTAATTGAAGTTTCATGCATTGCTATAATAAGAATGGTTATTGAACAATTAAAGAACATTTCCACTCCGGTCCTAGTATAACTCTTGTTATGGACATGTTTTCCACCATCGAGCTATCAGTGCTCTATCCCAAATTTGCGTGTAATGTAAACATCTTGGAGAAGCTAATTCTGAACCAAGATCCATCACGCAGGAAAAAAAAACCCACAGGAAACAAGACAGATAATAAAATAAATCTGCTGTCGACACAATTTCAGACGCCGTCTCCCCTCGGAAATGTGGAGGCGGCGGTAGTAGGTCCGGTTGTGACTGGGGCCGGTGTCGGTGTCGGTGGTGCTGGGGCCGGTGTCGGTGCCGGTGGTTCTGGGACCGGTGTCGGTGTCGGTGTTTGTGGTGCTGGGGCCGGTGTCGGTGTCGGTGTTGGCGTTGGTGGTGCTGGGGACGGTGTCGGTGCCGGTGTCTGTGGTGCTGGGGCCGGTGTCGGTGCCGGTGGTTCTGGGACCGGTGTCGGTGTCGGTGTTTGTGGTGCTGGGGCCGGTGTCGGTGCCGGTGGTTCTGGGACCGGTGTCGGTGTCGGTGTTTGTGGTGCTGGGGCCGGTGTCGGTGTCGGTGCCGGTGTCTGTGGTGCTGGGGACGGTGTCGGTGTTGGTGTTGGTGGTGCTGGGGACGGTGTCGGTGCCGGTGTCTGTGGTGC